ATAATAATGTTTATAGAGTACAGTCGGTAATAGCAAAGGCCTGGCTGGGTACTCACCTTGCAATCTGTGGGTGGCAGGTTCGAATCCCAGTCGCCAAACATTCTCTGTACATAACACTAAACTGTTGTAACCTGCCCAGTACCTGATCTTTACATAACACTAAACTGTTGTAACCTGTCCTGTACCTGATCTTTACATAACACTAAACTGTTGTAACCTGTCCTGTACCTGATCTTTACATAACACAAACTGTTGTAACATATACCTTATCTTTACATAACACTAAACTGTTGTAACATATACCTTATCTTTACATAACACTAAACTGTTGTAACCTGTACCTTATATTTACATAACACTAAACTGTTGTAACCTGTCCTGTACCTGATCTTTACATAACACTAAACTGTTGTAACCTGTACCTTATATTTACATAACACTAAACTGTTGTAACCTGTCCTGTACCTGATCTTTACATAACACTAAACTGTTGTAACCTGTCCTGTACCTGATCTTTACATAACACAAACTGTTGTAACATATACCTTATCTTTACATAGCACTAAACTGTTGTAACCTGCCCAGTACCTTATCTTTACATAACATTAAACTGTTGTAACATATACCTTATCTTTACATAACACTAAACTGTTGTAACCTGTACCTTATATTTACATAACACTAAACTGTTGTAACATATACCTGATCTTTACATAACAATAAACTGTTGTAACCTGTACCTTATATTTACATAACACTAACTGTTGTAACCTGTCCTGTACCTTATCTTTACATAACACTAAACTGTTGTATCCTATCCTCTACTTTATATTTACATAACAATAAACTGTTGTAACCGGTACCTTATATTTACATAACATTAAACTGTTGTATCCTATCCTCTACCTTATATTTACATAACACTAAACTGTTGTAACATATACCTGATCTTTACATAACAATAAACTGTTGTAACCTGTACCTTATCTTTACATAACATTAAACTGTTGTAACCAGTACCTGATCTTTACATAACATTAAACTGTTGTAACCTGTCCTGTACCTTATATTTACATAACACTAAACTGTTGTAACCTGTCCTCTACCTTATATTTACATAACACTAAACTGTTGTAACCTGTCCTGTACTATATATTTACATAACACTAAACTGTTGTATCCTATCCTCTACCTTATATTTACCAAACACTAAACTGTTGTAACCAGGGTTTTTACGTCTCTTGGAAGTCCTGGAAAACTAACATGCTTTTGTAAGAGTGCTGAAAAGTCATGGAAATGTACAAAGGCTCCTGAAAATTCCTGGAATTTATTTAGTATTAAAAACAAAAATTTTTGTCTGTTCATTTCACATAAACCCAAGAAATTAATATTTAACAAAATGTTACATGGCTCCGTACACATAGGCGTACTATAACCATCATAACTTAGGCCTTTATATATAATGAATAGGCCATGAGAAACATTACTGAATCGAATGCTGTCTTTGTTATTCTCAATAACGATTCACGCGTGCATAATGCAGTTATAAGAAATGGCAGTTTGTGGGTTTGTTTATACTTAATGAAGCATTGATTTATTATGCTTAATGCTTCACCAAACGTGTAAAGCAAATTAAAGATATGCCTGACAGGAATTGCACATTTTGTGGCTTGATAAACCAGAATATATGGATTGGCTTGTACGTGACGGTGCAACCAAACACAGTGGTGGTTGGAACATGTGCAAGAACACCTTCGACATCTCAAATATGGACAAAACTGCACTTAAAAGCCACGTGAAAGGATCCAAACACATTGTGTTATTTAAACAATGCCAACAAACGTTGGGAATTAACAGCTTTATTAGAAAAAGAAATGCATCAACTAGAAGCGATGGGGAAATCACTTCTACCATTTAATTTACATAAAGTGCCCCTATTTGCATGTTACACTATGTAAGAATTAATGCACTTAATAGATTGTTCAAGTAAAGTCGTTTTTTGTTTATAATTATTCACTTGGTTGTTCCTGGAAATTTATTGATTCAGTCCTGGAAAACTCCTGGAAGTTTTTCAACTTGTGTTTTTATGGATCCTGCGTAACACTAAATTATTGTAACTTGTCCAAACTTTATCTTTAATAACACTACACTGTTGTAATCTGACCTTTGACTTCTCTTTACCTAACTGTTGTAATCTGACCTTTGACTTCTCTTTACCTAACTGTTGTAATCTGACCTTTAACTTCTCTTTACCTAACTGTTGTAATCTGACCTTTGACTTCTCTTTACCTAACTGTTGTAATCTGACCTTTAACTTATCTTCACCTAACACTACACTGTTGTAATCTGACCTTTGACTTCTCTTTACCTAACTGTTGTAATCTGACCTTTAACTTATCTTTACCTAACACTACACTGTTGTAATCTGACCTTTGACTTCTCTTTACCTAACACTACACTGTTGTAATCTGACCTTTGACTTCTCTCTACCTAACTGTTGTAATCTGACCTTTGACTTCTCTTTACCTAACTGTTGTAATCTGACCTTTAACTTATCTTTAATAACACTACACTTTTGTAATCTGACCTTTGACTTCTCTTTACCTAACTGTTGTAATCTGACCTTTAACTTATCTTTAATAACACTACACTGTTGTAACTTACTTATTCCTTTAAAGGACATAATTTATTTGAGAATTAAAACAGTCACAGTTAAACTGATGTGTGAGTAAAGAATTGAATAAGTATTAAATATTTGTTTACAGTTAGAGTGGTAGTTCTCTTTGTATATCAAGGTTCAGCAATTTAATATTGAATAGTTTTTGTTATACTTCTTGTGTTAAATTGTCTGTAACCATGCTGTAAATGTAGGCTCTCTGGGCGAGGGTAGTAATTTTTATGGATATTTAATGAACAGGTATCTCTTTCTGAATACCGAATGCGTAAAAAGAAGGAAGGCAGAGATTCAAAACATCAAACTTCTGTGGAGTCTGAAAGCATGTTATTAAAAGATAGTAAACCAACAAGTCTGTTGCCACTGCCTCTCTTTGAACCTCTTTTGTCAACAGGCACGTCAAAAAACGGCCTTAAGTACAGTGACAAAGGTAAGGAAGGATTAAGTATTCAGCATAGTGTTATAATTTATCTGATTTTTTAACATTGATTTAAAATAAGTACTAGATTTATAGTGCTGTTGCCTTTTGCTGAACTGTATGTAGGTTTCAAGAGTTGATGTACTTCACTGGAACTGTATGTAGGTTTATTGTAGGTTTCTACTGTTGTTGTACTTCACTGGAACTGTATGTAGGTTTATGGTAGGTTTTTACTGTTGTTGTACTTCTGGAACCATATGTAGGTTTACTGTAGGTTTCAAGAGTTGATTTACTTCACTGGAACTGTATGTAGGTTTATTGTAGGTTTCAAGAGTTGATGTATTTCACTGGAACTGTATGTATGTTTCTACTGTTGTTGTACTTCTGGAACCATATGTAGGTTTCTACTGTTGGCGTACTTCTGGAACCATATGTAGGTTTCAAGAGTTGATGTACTTCAGTGGAACTGTATGTAGGTTTCTACTGTTGTTGTACTTCTGGAACCGTATGTAGGTTTCTACTGTTGTTGTACTTCACTGGAGCCGTATGTAGGTTTACTATAGGTTTCAAGAGTTGATGTACTTCAGTGGAACTGTATGTAGGTTTCTACTGTTGTTGTACTTCTGGAACCGTATGTAGGTTTCTACTGTTGTTGTACTTCACTGGAGCCGTATGTAGGTTTACTATAGGTTTCAAGAGT